ATATATTGTATAAAAGAAATATATGCTATAGACGACATAGATGACATAGAAGACATATATGATTTCTTAGGGATCGATGTCATCCTTTAAATCATCATCATCCATGTCTTCTTTCATGTAACAGAAGCATAAAATCCTAAATAATACATATAGAATTCACATTAAAATTGGAATTTTTTACTATAATCAATAAGCAAATTATTTTCAATTTAGTTAAGCAAATTTTTTATATAACTTTTAAAATTTCATTTTGTTATATAATTTATTTTATTATATATTAATAAATATATCTATTTAATTAGCATTAATTTGATTAATATTACAGATATAAAATATATACTATTCGAATCCTTTAAATAAGACAAATCTAATGATACTAAAATCATAAATATCTAATTACTGAATGCTTAGATCAATCAAAATATCTTTAAATATTCAATACAAAATAATTCTGTTAATATTAAAACTACAAATATAAAATACATACTATTCGAATCCTCTCAATAAGACTATTCTAATAATACTAAATTTATAAAATTCCAATTACTAGATGTTGAGATAATCACAAAATTGTATTTTTATTTTATGTTACATAAACTTATATATTATGTTAACGAATTTTCTTATAATGAAGACATAATTAGTCTGAACGTTTATTTCGTTATATCGAGTATTAACTGTAATATTTTTTTTTTAAGAATAGTTTAGATACTAGAATAATGTTAGAATGCTTTAAAATATTAATATAGGTATAAGAAGTAGAAAATTTTTTTTTCATTTTTTAAATTAATAGATCTTTGAGAAATTTTTTCATTTTATTAAATTATTATTGATCTTTTATTTTCTTTTTTTTTTAAAAATAATTTTGAACTTTATGGATTTTAATAATGCTTAATTCAGACATAAAAATAGATATAAGATATTTCTTTATTTTATGAAATTTTTTCTTTTATTTTTTATTTTATGTAAGGTTCTTTTTCATTTTTTTTTATGTAAGATTTTTTTTTATTTTTTCAAATTGATTCTAACTCATTTTCTTTATTATTTTCATTTAAAGAATAGTTAATGCTAGTACGTAAGAGAGAAATTTTTTCTGTCTCTTATTTCTTTTTTTTTTAGAAATAGTTTGATGAAGGTAGATGCAAAGTTTTTTTATTTTTTTCCTTCATGTAAACATTTTTCTTTTTGTTTTTTCAAATTAGTTCTAACTTTTTTTCTTTATTTTTTATATCTAAATCAAATGTTAAGTATTTTTAAAGAAAAAAAAATATTAGATCTGATTTAAATAAATAAAAAAAAAAATACTTCTGCTTATGAAATATTTATCTTAATATTTAAATAGAAGTGTTCTTATAATTTTGAATTATTTTCTAAAAAGAAAAAAAAATAAAAAAAATAAAATAAAAGAAAAGAGAAAGAAAAAAGTTAGAATTAATTAAAAAATAAAAAAATCTATTACCTATAAAATATTACATTAATATTTGAATTGAACTATTTTTAGAGTCTAAATTCTTTTTATAAAAAAGAAATAAGTTAGTAATCGTAAATAACTATGAGGAATAAAGATAAAATAATAGTGTTTTTTTTATTTTTTTTTAAAAAAAATAATATATATAAATAAGTAAATTATAAAATAAATAAAGCAGTTTTGATTAAAAATGTAAAAAAATGATTAATAAAATAAGCATTACTTTTAATTGATATTTATTGATTATTTGAACTTAATCACATATGATCTATAGTTAAACATTTTATTATTAACTATTAACATATTATATCATATTAATAATTGTATTTTTAATATTATTATAATTAAAATATTTAAAAATATTTTATGCTATTCTTATTAAAGTTAATGAACTTTCACTAATTAATGGTTTATTTATATTAATATTTTGAGAACAATGATAAGTAAATAATACATAGTTTTTCAAAGTTTAGCTTGCAAAAATATTGAGATAAATCAATAAATATATTTGTAAAAAAATATACAATAAATCTTCAATTTGATTAATTATATCTTGAATATAATAATGATTACTATAGTCTTTATAATACATTGCTATTATTTAGCAATGTAAATTTTTTTTATATAATACAATAACAAAATCATCTTACTGTAAAAGAAAATCTTAAATAATATTGATTCAATATATAACTGCATTTAAATTACAAATTATTCGTAAAAATTTATACAAAATAATAAATATATTATACTGACTTACTTATATTATTAGTTTTATAATTAATAGTTTATTTTTGCTTTAATAATTTAGAATTTTATAAATCAGCAAGACTCATAACCATTGTTTTCCAATTTTCTTTTCATCATTTTTCATATGACTTATATAATATATTATTAGATTATTATTATTTGTAAAATATGAAACAATTTGACTAGTCTTATTTGGATTAATAATTTTAGTATTTATTTACTTATCATAATATACAGTACATGATTATAGATGCCTACTGAAACCTTCTCAAAATAATTTCATTATACCCTTTTCTATGTTTTTAATATAATTTCGATAGTTTCAGCTTTTGTCATATTAAATGGGTTTTGTCATATTCCTTATTATAATTTTAATATAGTTTTGTCTAAGTTTTGACTGTTATTAAGGAGTTTTATCCCTTATCTATATATATGATATTATCTTTCAATTGGTCTTAAATTATATATTTTGTGATATTTTTGTAATGTAATCATAATTAAATAATTCAATTCTTTTGTTAAAAGAAAATATCTAATAAGAGAATCTTTTTAAGATAATATTAATATAGTATTTTTTAAGATTATTAAATATAATAAAATTAATAAATTATATATATTATAAGTTTGTTCTTAATTATTATATATTTTTATAGTATTAAAATTAAAATAATCTACTTTTAGTGAATATGATTATCAGTATTATCTTCACTATTCAAAAAATCAAAAATATCATTACTACTAGTAACATATTTAGAAATTTGATCAATTACATTATAAATTTTTCTATTAATTTTAAAAAATTCATTAATTTTAGAATTTGACTCAATTTCAGCTAAGAATACCTATTGTAATTATTAAATTATAAAAAAAATTTGTAATGTTATTCGTAATTATATATTATGCATCTATAGATAAAATTTTCATAAAACATAATGTATAATTAATTCATAATTTATAATTATTTTATAATGTATAATTAATTCTTAATTTTGATTAGTCATTTATTTATATAATAAATATTAAAAATTGTAAATTATTTTATAGGAAAAAAAAATGTAAATTTATTTTATAAAATTATTTAATAATTTATTATGAAAAATATCACTATACTTATATAATAATATCTTTTACTCAAAATCTTTTAAACCTTTATCTACTAGATTTTTCAAATCAAAATCTTCTTCATTTTCTAAATTTACTTCTTGATTATTATCTTCATTAAGATTTATATTATCATTAACAATTATAGTATTTAAATTCAAAGTTGTAATAATATTTAACTCAATATTTATTACTAATTCTAAATCTTTTCTAAGATTTATATCAACATTCTCTTCGTCCTCTTCTTTATCTAACTTATTATTAATTAAATCTGTTAATAAATTGATCATTTCTTCAATAGACATATTTTTACTAGTATAATGTAATTCACTTTCTATTTTTGAAACACAAAATCTTTAAACTTAGACATAGCTTTAACCTGAGATATTGATAAATTAGTATGATAAGAATTTATAAACCAATCCAAAGTAGAGAAGAGTTTTTCACATAAAACACTATATAGTATAATACCAAAGATACAAATGGCTACTATTTCAAGAAAATTAGGAAAAGATTTGTATGTCATCTACTAAATTAAAGGAGTATCATAATTTTTAGCATAAGATGATTCAAACAGTATTTGCTTTAGATCAAACTTGTATATTTGAGCAACTAAAGTTTGGATAATCAGCCTTATTGTATTCCATATTCTTTAACATTTATATAGCAATTAAATTTAACCAATGAAAAAGTGTTAATTTTAAATTTCGTTCTAAATTTATTAAGTTAATTAATAATACAATTAATATAATATAATTAAAGTATATTAAAATTTTACCTCTATATTTAGGATGTAAGAAATAAGCAAGTAAATATAAATCATCATCAAATTTTTCAAATCTCTTGTTAAATAATTCAAATAATTGATTACGAAAGCTAATATTATAATTAGTAGAAAGATTATTAATTGCAATCACAATTTTAATCATTAACATAAAACAATCTGCTAAATTTGAATTACATTCTTTAACTTCAAGTATAGTATTATGAATTGGTTTTAAAATATCAGCTACTACTTTACAATATTAATAAAATTCATCATGGCATAAAAGTTGTTTTACACCATAATCAGTAAGCAAATCAGGATAATTATCTGAAATCTAGTAAGTTTTTAATTTTAGTAATAAAATAATTTACATATTAAATATTTATAATAAAAAAATAATTTAGAATAACTTACTGTAATTAAACAAATATGTAATCTCAAAATTAATTCAAGATGATCATAATATATATATCATCTAGTATTTACATACTTTTTTAATCTACCGTCTTGTATATTATTTGCTTTAATTAATTCTTATAATTTTGCATTTGGTTGATGAGCTTTATTAAAAAATCTTGTAACTATACTTGCTTGATTAATTGTTTTTTTTAATAAATGTTAAACCAATAAAATTTTTATTAATAAAATTTAATATATATGCAATAAGAAATATTTGCTATATACAGAAATTTTTTTGAAATTATCAGTAATTATAGCACAAAATTTTTTAGTTCCAATCTTTATAATAATTGTTTCTATTTTATTAGCCAAAAATTCACCAGTATAAGATGTTGATAAATAATCTTTAAGTCAATACAAATATTTTTTTTGATCAGATGTTAAAATAATAAAATTCCAAATTAAATTATTTTGTAGTGTGGTCTAACTATCTAATGCTAAATTTAATAAAAATTAAAAAATATAATTTAAGTTTTTTAATAAATAGATTTTAAATAAATAAATAAATAAAATATAAATATAAAATATTATACATTATCAAAAGTTAAATTATCAAATTGTTGAAATATATTTTATTGCTTTAGAATAACTCAAAAAAGTTTATTACTGACTAATTTTCTTACAAGTAATTCTCATGATGGAAGTATAAATGCAAGACAAAGCTGACGAAACAATTCAATTATATATAAATTTTTTATTACATAAAATGATATTCCAGCATAAATAAATGCTTGCATTATGATACATTTAATACTACTTTGACATTCAGGTATTAGGTAAGTACTTTCATAAAATAAATTGAGTTTTACTTGTTTTTCATTTGCTAATTTTCATTTTTTATCTGATGTAATAACAGATACTGACTCTTCAATATTACCCCTTTTTTAAGATATTCAAGTCTAACATCTTCTAATACTTTCATACAAATATTAGCCAAATATTCTTCAAGACTTGAAACAATTGCAGTTGAAATTTTAAATTCACAGAAGTTATAAGCATCACTATAGTGATCATCTGCTTTTTTGCATAAAGAGTGAAGTGAGATGAAACTGAAGAGAACTTAGGGTCACATATTTTAGTTATAGGAATAGATTTTGTTAAAGAATTAGATAGTGTTAGATGTTGAATATTCATAGTAAAATTTATAATAACAAAAGAAGTTATAAAATAAAACTATTGAAAATAATGTAACTTTTAACTATAATCAACATTTTAAAGTGAAAATAAGTTTCAACTTGTTCCATATTTTTCCACAATTTAAAACCTCAAAAATAACGAAAAAATCAAAAAAAAAATTTATATAAAAATATTTTATCAGATAATTTTCTCGCCGATTTTATTAATTTTCCAAATTGATCTTTCAATTACATTATATATATATAATAAATATGCAATATTAATAAATTACGAATAATGCAATTTATATGTATTATAAAATAATATTATAAATATGAAATACATTTTAAATATGAATACATAATAAATATAAAAAATATGTAATTTGTAATGTAATTCATAATTCACTAGAAACTAAATATGGAAAGCAACCTTAATTTTAGCTAATATTTCCAAATTTTACTTTTCTATCAAAATATATGGATATAATATTAAAGGATTTATACATTAAGTAATATCTATAGAGGGTGGACAAAAGTATTCACACACTTTCATAAATGTAAATTAATGCTAGTAAAGTCATATGATCACAATAACAAATTGCATTTACATAATATTTAAGTGTTTACTTATATTATAAAAATAAAAGAATTACAAATTTGTTTTTTTTTAATAAATTTTTCTTCTCTGAAAATCTAAAAAAAAATAGTAAAAACTAAAGAATTAACTGCAATGATTTTTCAAGCAAAAAATAATCTTCGTACATTATCTTGGTCAGCTTAAAGTCTCGATCTTAATCTAATAGAGAATCTTTAGGCTGAAATCAAGAAAAGCATCAGAACTTATAAAAAATCTTTATCTAATCTTGCTAATCTTGACTAATATGTTAAAAAGGCATGGCAGGAAATTCCAAAGCATACTATCAAAAATCTAATCGATAGTATGTCACAATAAATTCAAGCAGTGATTGCAGCAAATGGTGGCTTAATTAAATACTAGTTACTTAGTATAAAATGTAGATATTAATTAGCTTTAAATAAAAAATTAATTGACTTTTTATTGTTATTGCAAAAATATTTTAAGTTTTATATTAAGTGAAAAAGTGTGCGGATACTTTTGTCCACCCTCTGTATTACTAACATATTTTTTCATTTTATCATTTTGATTTTCTAATTTTTTTTTTAATTTTTTTAAAATATAAAAATGAGTTAAAAAATAAAATAAAAGTAACAATAAACTTTATATCTTTAATAGACTTTGTAATGAACATTTATATCTTGTTTTGAAGTTATTTCACAAAAACAGATTATATTATCATAAAAATCAACTTCACGTTGAAGTTCGAGTTAAATAGTTTAAATGATTTTATACTAATGATTTTAGCGCAAATTTTTGTTTTGTATTTTTCCAATTTACATAATAGACTTTTCTAAAATTGCCTGTACTGATCTTTTGGATATTGCTAAAATGTTTATATTCATAACATTTGATACTATTATTTGATATATATTCTTCAATCCAATTATCAGTTTTGCATATTATTTTTTTTAAAAAAAATTTAAGGATGATAAAAATTTTGGAGAAAAGATTATAAAAGAAAAATTTTTTTATCAATATTTAATTTTTGAAAATCACGATTAATCTAACTAAACATTTTTATTTCATTGCTTTAGTATGTAAAGGACTAATATAAAAACATCGTAACTGCTATTACTATGTGTAAATAATAAATTTACTTCAGTTTTTAAAATATAAAGTAAAAGTAATTCTTTATAATTTTTTATTTCATGAGTGAAGTAATTCATAAATCTGCAAATCTGCAAGCATTACAAGATGAAAAAAATTTGTGCGGTTAATAAATAATAGTATTAATTAGTATTGATGAATGAAGCAAATATAAAATCGTCTGGTTGAATTTTTTTATTATGAATTTCGTGTAATATTCAATAATGCTAAAATATATCGTGTTATGTAATGCAATTTCTTTTCTCTCTGATTATTATTACTTCGCCACAAAATAATTTTTTTTATTCAGTTATAAATATTTATAAATAATTACAATTTGATAATGAAATGTTAAAATATATTATTACTAATTCAATTTTAAATTATTCATAATAACTGAATAATATTTTACGGAAATTATTATTTTCCTCCCTTACGTGATTGATTCTTTGTATGACTGTGCTACGCGTTGTGATATGTTTTTGTGTTACATTATTTATATCTATCAGTACAATTATCTATTTTTCTTCCAAAACCCTTTTCCTTTCGTCTCTCTAGCATTTTATATACCAAATTATACTGCAATTACTTTCGTTCATTTTTTTTTGCTCGTTTTATCCTACCTTCCTTTTTTGTCAAATATACATTTTAACCGAGTCAAAAAAAATACAGTGTAATTTTGTGGTATATACTAATACTATGAATAATAAAGAAGAACGTTACTTCTCTATTGCTGATACTATAGAAACAATAGTTAATGCAGGTGTGTTTTTGTAATCAATCTACATTTTTGTTAGTATTCAAAGTGGCATAAAGTGTAAAATGTGAAATTATGGTCGGGTTAATGTTAGAAATAGATAAAGTGATTAAACATTAGGTATTACTGATTTAAGAATCAGTCCTTTTTAACGAAGAACAATACCCACCTGATGATGATCAAGTAATCCTTTATAAAGAGAATGAATTAGCGTCCTTATTCTCTAGAAAGAAATTTACTTCATGGGAGGCATGTGAAACCTTTATTAACAAATGGGCTAAAGTACAAGGTTTTCATATAGTTAAAGATCAGGTTGTTCGAGAGAATGGAGTATTACGTCGTCGAACTTTTATTTGTAATCATAGTAGAACATATAACTTTTCATCAAATAAAGATACCAATACAAACAAAATGCAATGCCCTTTTTATTAATTGCATCTTGTTCAAAGATTAATATTCCCGAAGCTCTTATAACCATTAACAAATTTGTAGATAATCATAATCACATTTTAAATCGTAGTATAATTGAATTTGAAGATGCAAAAAATTTACTGACCCAATGATGGAAGATATAAGGTTCATGACTATGGATTGTAAATTTGGTGCAACAACGCAAAGAAAATTCCTTGAAGGAAAATATCCTTCACACCCGATTCATTCCAAAGATCTTTATGCCGCAATACAAAAATTTCAACCTACCAGCAAATCTTTATCAAATGATGCAACTAAAATTTCTAACTGGCTTGATCAACAAAAGGAAATGGATTCACGTTGGATAATTGCACGAGGATGGGATGATGATAACACTCTTACTCATCTACTTTGGATGACGCCTAGTCAAGTAGAAGATTGGATTCAATATTCCGATTGTGTTTTTAATGATGTTACTCATAAAACCAATCGATATAGAATGGCATTATCATTATTTGTTGTATTTGATAATGACCGCCATAATATTTTACTTGCACAAGCTCTTCTAGCAGATAAAAGTTTTGAATCACATAAATAGATGTTTAGGCAAATAATAAAATCAATTGGCATTCATCCTGCTGTAATACTTACAGATGCCGATCCTGCCGTTGTAGCAGCTATTCGACAAGTTTTTCAATCAACATATCCTATTCACTGTGCCTATCATATAACACAAAATTTACACAAAAACCTTAGAAAAACCTTGGGTAACGATTATCAAAAGTTCCTTGAAGAATTCTATAAGTGCCTCAATAGTTTTGCTGAAGATGCCTTTCAACAACAGTTTGATAAGCTTATACAAAACTATCCAAATGCACGAACATACCTAGAATTTCTTTATAAATCAAAAACATGTTGGGCACATTGTTTTACTAGTTTTAAGTTTACAAGAGGCAAGATACCTAGTTCTCGTGTAGAATCTGTGAATACATGTTTAAAACGTTTGTTACACAATTCAAATGTTTCATTGTGCGATCTTGTAAAGGAAATTCATAGATTGCTTGCTTGATATCCAAGATAAAGAAAATGAATATAGATTTTGGCAACTGGCAATTCCATCAATTAAAAATCAACAAAAGACAAATTTTTTGTTCACAAAAATTGATCAATGTCTTCAAGAATTTCTTACTCCTACAATGCTAAAAAATGCATCGTAATGAAATTAATCAATCATTATATTATGTAGCAACTTTACTTGAAAATACTGAAAATGCCGAAATAGAAGATGAAGAAAACCAATCTATGCCTTCAGACGAGATAACAATTGATATTACGCAAGCAACATTAAGACAATTAATTAAATTTGTTGGAATTCACAATATTAAGAAATATGGGCAGATAGTGTTGGAAATTCATTAAAAGTCAAGCATTATGTCATTTTATTACAAAATTATGGACATATATGTTCTTGTCTTTCAATTGTACGAAATGGTATAATTTGCAGACATTTTTTTCAGGTAATTCTAACTACAAGTAACGCGGTATTTCATATTAGACTTATTCCTTCACGATGGTATTGTACAAAAAAAATGGCTCAAAAAAGCCATTTTTAACAGCCGATAAGTTTATGCAGGAGAAGCCAATATTACATATGATTGTCATACAGTACCATACTTGAGCTTATTTAATCAAGACAACAAAGATCTTCGTGAAGAAAGACTAACAATTTTTGAACAGAAAATTGTTTATGGGAAATTGCATGGCACATATAAGAAAGCTCTTTCAAAGGCATTGCAAACAAATTCCAAATCACAACAACTTATCAACTTGCTTCAAGAATTTATTGAAAATGAAGATACTCAACAAGAAAATGATACTAGTGATAAGGAGAATGACCCTTCGGTACCACTATTGCAAAATCCAAAAAAACGACGTGGTAAGGGAGTATATGGAAAACCGGTACGGTACAATCCAAATTTCGCGAAAAAATACTGATCTGCATAATTGTACCGTACTGGTCTGGCGAATCGTACCGTACCGGTTTTCTATCTACCCGTGGTAAGGGTCGGCCACCTGGCACTAAAAGATTTAAATCGGCTCATGAGGCTCCTAAAACAAAAAACCAACGCAAATGCAAAAAATGTGGAAATGTCGGTCATTACCAAAAAAACTGCAAGGTATAATATTTCTGGTTTTTTTTTTAGTTTCACGTATATACATGCATCTTAATAAATGGTTTTGTTTATTGTTACATTTTAGATTTAAAGCGTGATATCAAGATATCGAGTATTATTATAAATAAAAGCAATTTGTTTAATTTGTATGTGATTTATTATAACAATTTAAACTAATAAAGCGAAATAAAAAATTTAAAAATTTTGTTCGCGTTATCACGTGATCACGTGAAATTTGGGGACTAGCGATTTTCTGCCATTGCGATGATTTATAAAATCAATATTTTAATACAGAATGTCGATCATTTTTTTCAAATTTTGATTTTTGATGATATTACTCAAAAATGGCCTAATTATTTGCTTCGTAATAGTCTATAAAAATTTAACCAAATAAAGTTCATCTATCATAATAAATATGAATTAAAAGATTTCATTATTGGTTGGAGGGGTTCTGTGTTAAAATCGTTTTAATTTAAAAAATGCTTACTCACAATTCCTAACAAACTCTAGAATTAAATTTAATTTAAATCTCATTTTATTTCTGTATTATTCCAGCCGAAGTAAACTTGAATTATAATGTTCGGCCAAAATTACAATTTTCAATGATTAATTTATCAAATCTAGGAATCTTCAAATTTATTTTAATCTACAAATATTTCAATATAAGAAGTATCAATAGAAGCATTAATAAAAGAATTTGATATAGGTATAAGCTGAAAAATTTTGATGATACATTGAAAAAAAAAGATATTAGGTAGCTTTTTATAATATAAATTTAAAAATTATTTATTGTTTAATTTATTTTGAGTTATCAATAAAAAATATATATATATAAAGATATACACAATAATAAATTAGGCTCTTTTAACATTAAATGATTTTTTATATTTTTAATAATTTTAAAAATTGATTTTGTAATAAATTAACGGTAAATTATGTGACTTACAATTCTTTTCAAATCTGAAACAAATCGACTCAAAAACTCAAATAAAATTTTAAACACCTCAATTTTAATAGCAAACCTCTATATATGTTCAACAAATGAAATAGGGTTAACTTTTCGTTTAAACCTCAAATCTATGAAACTAATAAAATATTCTTCACTCTAATAAAGAAAAAATAATGTTTATATGAAAATTATTTATTTAGAAATTTACTATTATACTAGTCATGATTTACTAATTGCAATTTTTTTTTTGCTTTTTCACAAGCATTTTATCATTTTACAAAATCAAAATGCAAGAAGGCAATAATTCAAATGAGTGGATTAATTTGATAGAGAAATATATTTTAAGAAATAAAATCAAATGTTATGAATACAAAAATTTTAGCAAGGTTTAAAAGATCAGTACTGGCAGCTTTTGAAAAGTCTATCACGCAAATTGGAAAAGTTTAAGACAGCCTCTCATATTAAAATCCTTTCATAACCTTAATAATGACACTGTTAAAGTAATAGTTCGTGAGGTAATTACAAATGTTAAAATGTATTTCATCTATTTCAGTCTTTTTAATATAAATCATTTATATATCAAATTACAATTAATTTTTTAGCTTGAACTTTAAAGCGAAGTTGATTTTCATGATAATATTATTCACTTTTGTGGGATAACTTCAGAACAAAGTATGTAATGTTCGTAATAAAGTTTATTAAAGATATATATATTGACATTTTTATTTTTAATTTTGACTCATTTATAAATTTTTCAGAAAATAAAAATTATCAATTGAAAAAGTATTGGTTCGTAATGGAATATGCTTATAGCGGATCACTTAGAACCTATTTGAAAAACAATTTTAATATGCTTACTTAGAATGATAAATACAAATTTACATTCCAGTTGGCTAGTGCTGTGTCGTTTATTCATAAAGAAGAAATTGTACATCATGATTTGGTAACCATACATATTATCTATATCTTTATTTATTTATGATAATAATTAATAATAAATTTTATAATTTTATTATAGCATTCTGACATTATTTTAATTCATTATGGTATTATAAAACTTGCTTATTTTGGATTATCGAAAAGGATTAAAACAGCATCTAAATAACAGTCAAAAGTCTTTGATGTAATTCCTTATGTTAGTCCAAAAAGATTTGGTAGACAAAATAGAATTGTCATTACATCATAACAAGATAATTTAACTGAGAAAGTGATGTTTATAGTATTGGCATGTTGTTATGGGAGATATCAAGTGGTCAACCTTTTTTTTCATATTGAAGGTGAACCATACGATATTGATTAGTTATTGATATTTCACAAGGACTCAGAGAAAGTATCATTCTGGGTACGCCTGAAGATTATGTAAACATTTATACTGGTAAAGATTATAAATTATAAAATTATAAAATTAAATTTAAATATAACGATCACTAATCATTTTTATGGTTTTAGGACAGCGAGCCAGATAATCGGCCATCTATGTACAAAGTAGTTGATGAATTAAATGCAATTATTACAAAAGAGAATATAATAGAGTATGATCAAATTAATAATAAAGAATCAAACCTTCAGTCATCAGAACAAACAATCAATTTTATTATTAATATTTCATTTCATGGGGACTTATCTCGATTGATTCAAAATTTTATTCAAATGAATACAGAAGAATTAGATTGAATAAAGAAACTTCAGCCATCGATTATGATGATACTATTGAAAGATTAACGATAACGGATCTTAACAAAGATATATTAAACGCCTTAGGAGGATTGCGAGGATATCGGAAACTAAAAGTACTCATTTGTAGTAATATGCAAATAAATAGCTTACCAACTTTACCCAGTTCCTTAAAAATACTCAGTTGTTTTAATACTCAAATAAATAGCTTACCAACTTTACCCAGTTCTTAACAATACTCAGTTGTTTTAATACACAAATAAATAGCTTATTAACCTTACCTGACTTCTAGACGCAATTTGATTGTAGTAATACTCAAATAAATAGCTTACCGACTTTACCAAACTCCTTAAAAAAGCTCTGGTGTTTTGATACACAAATAAGTAGATTACCAAATTTACCCAATTCTTTAATGGAGCTCAAACCTGTATCTTTATATAGCGTTAAAATATTAAAGAATTCTTCTGTCTTTTAATTATTTTTCAGTAACATTTTGTATGCGTCTAATGTATTGTTTTAATTTCAAATAACAAATTTCATTTCATTTTATGATCCTAATATACTCCAATAGTTTAGATAAAATTTTAAATTTGACACGGTCATCAGTTTTTATTTATTAGATTATATTTAGTATTACATAAATAAAATTAAAATTTTAAATCAATATACAAGCTATGTGCGTGATAATATATTTTTACTATAAAAAAAAATAACCGTGAATTTTGGGAAAACTGAGGCGGCCGGGTTACGAGAATCTAGAAATTTTTTTTTGCCTGGCCTAATTTTCATAATTAATGTAATTAATTACGCTCCATAATTAATTAACTTTTAATTTTATTTGTAAGATCATAAATTTTTTAAATTATTTTAAATAATAATATCCTTTAATAGTTTTTTTACCGTGCATACCTGGAGATTAAATTTACAATGGGAAGGTCGATAAATAATCATATGAAAATGTCTGGATATTAAACTATCTGACATACCGGTGTGCATTTTATGGTATAAAATTTGATTGGAAGCTTCCAATCCAAATGGTTTATTAAAAAATTATACTTCCAAACCCTTCTGAAGAGCTTCCCATAGTTCTTTCAATCTTATAAGGGCACATATCTGCCCAAATATATTATATATTTAATATTAAATTTTGAATTGCTTTCTAATATTTTATATTATTGAAATATTAATGCGAAGATCTATCAACTGCATATTTCATTATTTAGTTTCATAAATATATAAATTTATATATATAAACACAATATTGCACTTACGATCGTTGAGCTCTAGGAAATTTGCATGATACAAAATTATTAAGGAAATAAGATATTTCAGTTAGTTTATGATTTAACTCTCATCAATTGTTCAAATATTTATTAAAATAATTCTAATGACGGATATCGGATGAAAATGCATAGGATAGAATAGTAAAACAGGATTAGCGGCTTCAAATTTTTATAAAAAGTAATTTATATTATCACAACAGAATTAATTCGAGAGAAGAGAATTATTAATGGTTAATTTAGAATTTGAAAAAAGAACTAAACATATATTATTAAATTCTCTCATGGATTATGTAACGTTGCTTAATCTAAATCTTCTTATAGATCAAAGATATAAATCGTATATCATTTATTAGTGCTTAGCATTATCTACGATGATTATATTACTTGTACTATACATGTAATTTGCGAAAATGAAAATATTGGGCAATAATACAACTTTATTAGAATACGTCAATAATTTAATATAATTAATAGATTTATTGAATTGGATTATTTGAGTATTATAGCAACAGAGTTCCGATAAGGAGTTTGGTAAAGCTGATATTTTCAGGGAGTTTGGTAAAGTTGGTAAGTTAATAATTGGTAGATAGGTCATTTGAGTTTTATGACGATAGAGTCCCGTTAAGTAGCTGGGTAAAATTGGTAGGTGAGTTATTTTAGTTTCATTACAATAGAGTTCTTTTAAAGAGGTAGGTAAAATTGGTAATCTAGTTATGTGAGTTTTATAACAAATGAGTTTCTTTATTGTACGATATCTTTGCAATTCTCCAAAGCTGTTTAATATGTCATCCTTATTATCATCTGTACTGATGATTTAAGATTTCTAAACCAATCGTTAAGCTTGGCTTTTGTTGTTACTTATCGTTCTCTAATCTTTTTTTCTAAATTTCTAATCGTTTTTTCCTTGGCTCTTTCGCCTTTTTGCTCGTGCTAAATCAATTAATGATTCACTTAACTTTTTAAATCCTTACTACCTAATTCATTCAATAAAAAGGAGTGTAGTAGTTGATTTTTATCTTCGGCTTTCCTTTTCTTCGTTCTAACTTAATTCTATCTTCCAAGTTTTTCAGGGTTTTATTTGATTCGTCTTTAAGATTAATTGAATTATTTTAAATTAGTTTCAGCCCTCGATAATCATTCCTTTTTTAGAATAAACATTCGGAAATAAACAATTCTCTTCATGAAAAAGCAAGATCTATCCTTTTGTAGCACATTTCCGTTTTTGTGTAACATAAATATTTATCCCATCTTTTAAGACTTTTTGATATAATTTAAAACGGGCGGGTTCTCACATTTTAAATAAAAAACTTTTGTTCAAATAAAATGTTTTTTACAATCATTTTGGTTTTTATATCTTTTATAGCTTATAAAGTTTATCCAAAATTCAGAGTACCCGAAGGAATTAAAAATGTACCGACATTAAGTTTCTTGAAATTGGTTTCAGCTATTTTTTCTAATGGGGGTCCTGACAAACGTTGGGAAATTACACGTAAGGTTTTGGAAAAAGAAGGCATTGGAAAAGTAACTTAAATTATCATTTTTCTGACGTTTTATTATTATTCTAAGAAATTTTTCTAAAAATAAAAAAAATTATAGCTCTGGTTCAATGGAGTATGGCATATCATTACAACCGATTTGGAACTTACAAAAGATGTATTTTCAAAGACAGGTTATAATTTTTTTTTTATTTTCCTTTTTTTATTTTTTATTTATATTTTTTTTTTTTTTTTTTTGTGGTTTAATTCCTTTTTGCCATAACATTATAATTTGAATTAGATTTGTATCCTAAAACATCGCTCGATGAATCAATCCCCGGATCTTTAACGGCTAATTACTACGGTACGAACGTAGTCTTTTCCAACGGAGATGTAAGTGTATTTTTAAATTTCTCTGGGTAATGATATGATCTTTAATTGAAATTCGATTACCTTATTTGTATATAGGTTTGGAAACGTCATCGGTATGGTATCACTTCTCATCGTAAATCGATTTCAGCAGTAATTTATTTCCCTTTATTTCTTAGCCATATTACAAGTCCTGCGTTTAAAAGTTTACCCATGCACGTATTTGATGAAACTGCTGTGAAATTGTTGAAAGTCATTGAAAAAGTTGATAATGGACCCATAGAAGTTCAAGATCTAATGCATAGGTAAATAAATCTCGAGTTATTTTTTCGTGATTGGAAAGAATATTTTTTAATTCATGGACTTATATTTTGCAGACTTACCTTGGACGTTCTTGGAAGAGTTGCTTTTGGATTTGATTTTAATGTAAAATGATTTTTTATTTTTATTTTTATTTTTTTATTTTTTTATTTTTTTTTTTTTTTAAAAAAAAAGAGCGAGAAAAATTTTCGATTAATAATTATTAATATTAAATAGAATCTTGAAGATCCAACAAACGTTTATGTTACTACTTATCAAGAAGTGACAGCCGAATGTGATAAACCTATATATTTTATCATCCCATTTATTGAATATCTCCCGTATTTTGATCGTATTGAAGCGCGTAAAAAAGTTGCAAAGATTAATGAATTATATGATGGACTTATTGAAACGAAACGTAAATCAATGGAAACGGAAGAATTGAGTAAAAAAATAAACAATAATACCGCTGATTTGTTAGAATGTATGATACACGCTTCTAGTGATCCAAAATATCCCATGTCAGACGAAGAAATGCGAGTAAGAATTATAATTTATTATAAAACCTTTCTAAATCAAGATTTATTTTTTTGACAATTTATTTATTTGGTAATCTTGATTTTATAGTATAATCTTGCAATGTTTATGTTAGCTGGTCATGATACTAGTAAGGAAGAATTTTTAATAATGTTTTATCTTTATTTATCATATTTTAAACTTATAACCTTTATTTTTTTTCTTTATAATAATGAAATTAGCTGCTACTGCTTTGACAACCATCTTATATGTCTTAGCCACCCACAAGTTACTTAAGTTTTTTGTATTTTAGCTAACTTTTTTTTTTATTTAACTTGGACCTTTCCTTTATTGAATAAGGATGTGCAAAGAAAAGCTCGTGATGAAATATTACGCGTCCTTGGCGATTCTTTAACTCCAACCATAGATCAGCAAAGAGAATTAAAATATTTGAACATGGTTATAAAGGAAAACTTAAGATTATATCCACCAGTATGTATTGTTCAAAAGTTTTTAAAATTTGAGACAGAGACCAAATTTATTTTATTAAAAAAAGTATATATTTTTTTTTGAAGGTTCATCAATTACCAAGAAGAGAAAATTCGGAGACTATTAAATTTCGAAATCATGTATTTTTACCGAAAACACCTATCTTAATAAATATTTATGGAATCCATCATTCTCCAAATAATTGGAAAGATCCTGAAGAATTTAATCCTGAAAGATTTGAGAATGATAATGATGAAAAACGCGAACAATATACTTGGTTACCTTTTGGCAGTGGTACCAGAACGTAAGTCTCGAGGACTTTTTTTTTTGATTTCCGTCGAATAACTAATTTATTTCATCATTATTATTAAATAGTTGTTTGGGGAACAACTTTTCACTTATTGAACAAAGAGTGATGTTGTGTGCTTTACGTAAGTCGTCTATAACATCTTTTGTTTATAAAGAATTAAGATATTCTCTATGCACGTATATTTTCTTTTTGAAATTATTAATTTTTTCTCTCTCTATATAGTAAGAAAATATGAGGTGTCTTTACCAACAGATAGTATTCATCAAGATAAATTACATCTTGATCATTCTAGTTCTACACTTACGGGACTACAATCATTGCACTTAATATTTAAAAGAACAGAATGATTTTTTTTTCAACGACGTATTCTTACGTAACTGAAATGTTGCGCTTTATAAGTGGAAGGGCGAAATAAAAAGGCTTACGGTAAATTATGTTTTTCAGGCAGTTTCCCCACTTTCATTGCAAAAGTATTTCTATCAAACTTATTTTGTTGTAGCCTCAAGTTTAAAATATCATTAAAGGTGTTTATGATTTTAATTTGAACATATTTTAATTTCTTTGTCATATCTTATTTGGTTATCAAGTTTATAAAGCTAAAATTAATTATAATAAATTACATAAAAATTAAATTATTATGAACGTTAAAACCAATTTATTTTATAGAAGGAATGAATTGCTGATAATTAATGATAAATTTAATGATTTTGGGGAATCACAAGATCCTCACCCGTGGGGACGAAAATTTTTTTCGAATCATTATCTCTACATATATTCATTATTACAGTGCTATAGTTATAAGGAAAGTGTCTAAAGGAAATCGCAATACAACTGGTTTTAACCTTAAATAACCAAACGGAAGATGATCATTGTCACCAGCATCATTTAAACTTCATTAAATATATTTATAAAATTAATAATGTAATGTAATGTCGCCAATTTAGTAGCGCGTGGGGACTCTTTATAACATATTTTGTTTCATTACACCAAAAAAAGATGTATTTTCTTTTCTTCGGATTGATACACAAAAATCTGATTGCGAGGATCTACCAGTTTTATACTATTAAACTCGATTCATTAATCTATAGTAAATAATTTTATTTAAAACTGCTAACCGAATTAATGCTAGATCGCACCCCAAAACAAGAAATAATGGTGATTTATTCGACATTTCAAGTCCGAATATCAACAATGCCGTAAAAGAACAAAACCATTATCCGACAACTAAAATACTTATGACAAAATTCTTCACGTAATCCAGCCCCTAAATCCTTACAGGATAGAAGGAAACTATTAATTATCAGGCAGGGAATTTGATTAAAGAAGTATAATATCATGCGCATAATGACCTAGTAAATATTTTACGAATAATATTTTCCTTCTCCTTGCAACAATAACGATTTATGAAAGAACAAATTAAATAATTACAGTAAAATGGCGAATTACACAAAGTAAATATCCTTTTAATTTATTTAATTAAAATTCACTGATTTTAACCACAAAAATAAATTTGATTAAGTTCACATTATTATCATTTGCGCTGCACGGCTGGCTAAGCTATACATATTCTAGTGAAATTTTGATATCTTTATAAAGAGTACTATTTATTGTTAAGAAATTAAAAATTCTAGAGTTGTTGCCTTATCGTGCTAATCCTTTATTTACCTAATAAAATCGATCAATCTCATCTCATTAAATTCTCTCACCCCATGCACCATGCTGTTTTCACTAACCCTACTTCGCAACAAAATAAATGAAATCTATAAGTTGTTGAACAATTATAACTTAATAAATTTACGTAAAACAATTGATTATTAAACATGAACTAATTCGTAATCCATCAACAAAAAGAAGGAAGGGCATTGCCCTTAATGTAAATATTGGTTCTTTTTACTGTATTTCACGTCATTTAAATATTATTTATTTACGTAATTTTGATTGAATTTCAAATGTTATGTAATAAATGACTTCTGTGTCATCTGTGAAATTATCTAATAGATTCACATGAATTCCAAACTTGGATATTTCTTTCATGTGAAACTGTAAAATAGTGATCTTACCAAAATCAATTGTGTTACATAAACGTTTATTTAGATTTAAATTATTTAAGTCGAATGATTTCACACGAAAAAAAAAAAATAATTAAAAATGGCTTCTGAATTTTTCCCCGGATTATCTCAAAACTTTTCTCAATTGCTTGAGGATGCAGATGACTATAATATTATTATCAAAGTTGGAGAGAATTCCAATACAAAAGAATTTAAAGCACATTCAAATATCTTGAGAGCTCGTTCTCCTTATTTTAAAAGAGCTCTTTCACAAAATTGGGTAACAAAGAAAAATAACATGATCAACTTTGCTAAACCAAACATTTCTCCTACAGTCTTTGAAATGATCATTAGGTAAATAATTTTCTTTTTAATTAAATTTTGATTTGAAATCATCGAATTTACAATTAGACTCTACTCTTTTTAATTTAGGTTTATGTATGCTGGCGTTCTTGATTTGAGAAAACAAGTTGGTTCAGACATCCTTAATCTTCTTGTAGCGTCTGATGAATTGCTTATTGAAGAGTTGGTTACATTTGTACAAAAATATTTGATTGACAATCAAGCCAAATGGTTGCAACAAAATTTCGTCAAGGTTCTTCACACAGTATTTCAAATAGAGAGCTGTAAACAACTTCAAAATTATTGTTTAGAAACCATTTGTGATGACCCTGAACCTTTTTTTAATTCACAAAATTTTCCGACATTAGAAAAAAGTATTCTACTTGGATTGCTTAAAAGGGAAGATCTACAAACCGATGAAATAGAAATATGGAATCATCTTATTAAATGGGGATTTGCTCAAACTTTAGAATTGAAGGAAAAGAGCATTACTAAGTTAGATAATTGGAATAAAAAGGATTTCTTGGCTTTGAAGAATACTCTGAATCAATTTATCACACATATCCGATTCTTCGAAATTTCTTCAAAAGATTTTCATAATAAGATTTGGCCTTTTAAGAAAGTCTTACCTCAAGCACTCTTTGAAGAAATTGTTTCATTTCATATGTCAAATACTGAACCTAAGCAAAATAAATTGGTTCCCCGTTATAAAAAGATTCCTGTTGATTCAATGATCATTAAACCCAATCATGCGGCTGCTCTTGTTAATTGGATTCAAAGAAAAGATTCTAATGCGAGAATTCCAAAGGGTCAATATAACCTTGATCTTATTTTTCGTAAAAGTAGAGATGGTTCTGATTTCAATACTATGCGTATGAAGTGTAATGGTCAGGGAGCATGTATTTTGATTATTAGAACTAAAGAAAATGCAACCATAATTGGCGGTTATAATCCTCTTGGATGGACAAACAAAGGCAATAATTATAACTATGGTAATAGTTATTACTGGGCTAATACTACTGAAAGTTTTATTTTTTCTTTAGGTGATGGAAAGGATTTAAAAAATTATAAGATTAGTCGAGTTAAAAACAGTAATTATGCGATGTACGAATCGAATTATGTAAATACTGCACTTAATTTTGGCAATAGTGATTTGGTTATCAATAACAATGTTGGCACATGCAATCAATCTCAATATGCAAGTAATATTTTAGATACAAATAGTTTTAATATTGAGGAAATGGAGATTTTTAGATTTTATTAAGATTATTCTTTTTGTTATAGTGAAATGAAGTTTAAAATTTTGACAAATCGTAATAAATGAAGTTTTTGCTATCTTAATTAAATCATGTGTCATTGATTATTATGTTTGAAAATTTTTGTAGACTTTCTAGGTATAAAATAGCATTTCCATTATTGCGTCATGTAAATTATTTTCATAACTTATGCAGATGTGTGGAATTGCAATTTCATCTAATTTATTGGTTTGGGACAGATTTGTAAAGACAATTCTTTCTTCAACAAAAATAACACGTTTATAAATATCTTGTTCCGCTCTATCTAGTACATACACTACCCTACAATAAATTACCGGATTTTATAAATTTTACTTAGTAATATATAGTAAAATTGAAGTTTTTCAGATTGCATAAAATTTACGAATTTTTAATAAAATACACTAAATTTTTTATTTAATAATCAATCAATTATAATTTTAAAAATATAATTCAAAAATATTCTATTTATAAAATGCCGAAAAATACTCATTTATAAAGTAATAGATAACACAATTTATATATAAAAATGCTTAAAACATAAAAAAATTGTTGCTTATACTTCAAAATGAAAAAAGATTTTCATGCATGTTCTAAAATTTTCTAATTTGAAAATTCGTAAACTTTTTTTTTGTTAATTACTAAGTTTATAAATTCCAGTCCGGTAATTGATTGTCGGGTAGTGTATATAAATACTTATACGGTTAATACCAATGTTAACTCGATTTGTTCTTAATGTAGAACTTAATTAGCAACTAATGTGCTATGAAACTTTGAATAAGGCAATGACCTTTCTTTCTTTTTTTATAATATAAATTAATAGTTTTATTAATTTATAAAGTATATTAATTTAATTAATATTATCGATCAGATACGTTATTATATAAATTGATTAGGATTAGGATGAATCTAAGATCTATTGATGTAGAGATTTGAGTTTACCAATCTCGGAAAACAATATCAATTAAAATTCAAATGGAGTAATAATTTTGTAAAAATATCTTACTAATTATGTCATGTGACAGCTATGATTGTAGCATAACAAGCTATCCGGGCTAATAAGTTGTTATTCTCTTAAACTGAAATGTCGCTCGAATTTTTTTCAAAATTCTCTCAACTGCTTGATGATACAGACGATTATGATTGTCATTATCAAAGCTGGTAAGAATTCAAATATTATTGAATTTCGTGCACATTCAGTTCTCTTGAAGTCTTGATCCACCTTATTTAAAAGTGCACTTCGCAGAATTGAATTTCAAAGTATTCCTGGATTTAAAAAATTACGAAAATCAATACGATCGCTTTACTAAACTTCTAACTTTTTGAATTGTAAAGTATATTTATTCTGGTATACTAGAATTGAACGAGCAAGACTTTGATATCCTTGATCTTATTGTACGAGGATTTTACCTCTTGATGAATTGTTTACTTCTATACAAGAGTATCTGAAGCAACAATTTGCAACTTTTTTTAATTATCCGAAATTTCCAACATTGGAAGAAAGTATATGAATTCGTTAAAAGAGAAGATTTGAAAATTGATGAAACTTAATTGTGGAATTATCTTATCAAATGGGATCTGACTACGGAGATGTAATTAATTGAAGTAATTAGAGTGTAAAGGTTAAAAAGCACTTTGAATCCATTTCTTTTCGCACATATTCGATTTTTACAAAAGATTTTA